AAGTCGATGGGGAGGATGGCCTCGGCTCCATAGACCGGGAAGAACGGTGTGAATCCGTGGCTCGGCTCGGGGGGTATTTCTTAGGCTCCAGATGATCGACGGGAGTTGGCAAGCCATTTCTTTGCCAAACTTCTTCAAGCTGGTTGAATATCCTTGGCTTAAGGCCTTGTAGGATCATGTCATTGGCACGCTCTACTTGGCCATTGGTCCTTGGGTGTCCCACGGTGACCAGGCCACCCGGATGTGGTGGTCGCGCGCAGAACGTTAGGAACTTGCGACCGTGAATTGTGTCCCATTGTCGATTGATGATGGTGTTATGTACCCGAACACCGTGGATGATATCCGGTAAAACAGCACCGCTTGCTCGGATTTGATCTGAGCGATCGGACGAGCCTCGATCCATTTGGAGAATTTGTCGATAGCTACCAGCAGATGGGTATAGCCCCCGGGTGCCTTTTGCAGAGGCCCAACCATGTCCAGCCCCATACAGCGAATGGCCATGTGATGGGGATGGTTTGAGGGCTTGGGCCGGGAGGTGCGTCTGTCGAGCGTAGTACTGGCATCCCTCGCAGGAGCGTACTAGCCTCGTGGCGTCGGCCACCGCCGTCGGCCAATAGAAACCTTGGCGGAAGGCGTTACCCACGAGCGCCCGAGGCGCCGCGTGGTGCCCGCAGACTCCGCGTGCAAGTCCCAAAGTAAGGATTGGCCAGCCTCGGTGGTGATGCATCGTTGGAGAATACCGGATGGGCTACGCCTATACAACTCGCCGTCGCAGAGGACGTAAGTCTTGGCGCGCCGCGCGAGCCGCCGGGCTTCGGTTCTATCAGCAGGAAGCTCTCCCCGAACGAGGCGATCAAGGAAAGGGACTCGCCAGTCCGTTTCGGGTCGGCCCGGGGGGGGTCTGCGTCAATCGCCATGGCCTCGGGCTTGGCTGGCGAGGTCTCGGTGGTAGAGGGGGCCTCGAGCCCTGCGGCGGGCTCGGTCGATGGGCCCTCTTCTATCGCCGAGGCGTAGTCGACGGATGGCTTGTGGAGGTCTCTGGCGAAAACGTTCCGGGGAACCGGGGTCCGTGCCGACGCCATCTTTGCTAGTTCGTCTGCGGCCTCGTTGAACTTTCGAGCGACGTGGTTGAGTTCGAGGCCGTCGAACTTGTCCTCCGAAGCGACGTACTATCGCGGCAAGACGCCTTCATTTTGGGGTCATGGCAGCTTGACTCTTTCATCACCGATCGACGACGAGCCGCGAATCACCCGTGCCGAGACGCCAGACTCCAAGTTCGATGGCGATTTGTAAGCCGTTGACGAGGGCCTCGATTCGCCACATTGTTGGAGGCGAAGTGAAGCCGGATCATGTAGCGCATGTGTACTCCAAGGGCGAGACCAGAGCAGCCCGCGAGGCCGCGCCCCCGATCTTCATCGAGAGACCCGTCAAGTACATGGTCCAAAGATTCGATTGGATTTGAACGGGTGGCGCGTAAGCGAGGCGTAAGAGGCGGCGGCATTTCTCAACCCAAAGGGGTATGGGGACGGGCCGTCTCCATATTCTCACCACCGGGTCGGCTCTTCGAGGAGTGGCGGGCGGGTTAGACGACTGGGCATCGCCGTAAGCCACCGGCGATTTTCCTTCGCCCGTGCTCAGGTCGACGGGTCCCCGACCGGGGACCCGCACCAACAACTGGTCGAGGACATCGGCGGGAGAGGCGTGTCGCACAGGCTCGCAGAAGCGTCGGGTGGCCTTTGCTCGCGCGTCGTGCTGGCGGCGTGGCGAGAGCGGCCGTCCGGGCGCCGCCGCTACTGGTGCCGGGCGCGCGACCGTCGTCGGACGGTGGGGTTCGAGGAGTGAGGAGCACCATGTCGTACTCATGCCCTAGAGACATGAACTCTAGGCTCCCCAACCAAACTATGGTGCCGAGACGCAATGGTCGTATGTAGTCTGCCATCCGGAACTTGCTAGGATGACGGCCGACACGCAGCGCCCCCTACAGCGGCGCGCTTAACTGCCGGTGTTTTGGAACCGGGGTCCCTCAACCAACGAAAGTGAATTTGTGCTGCGTGCCCCTAATCCCGGATGGTGGCGCAAAGAGACACAAGGTTTATACTGGTTCAGCAATCGAGGCCCTACGTCCAGTCCGAGAGATCGATCTTGTATTCCTTGCACCGGAGTGCTCGTAGTAGGGGGTTACAAGCTAGGTGAGAGAGGGAACTAGCCCCAGGTCTCGGCGAGTGTGGTGCGGGCTGCTTGAGGCGTTGTTCCCAAGCAGCGTAGGAGTGCGTGGTTCTATCGGCGTGTTCGTCTTTCTGGCCTCCCTCAGAAATGGCCCCAGTCCCTCCCTTTTATACTCTAAGGGAGGACGGGACCCGTCTGTGGTGCTACATAGCGCTTCTGTAAATGGGGTGGCGTGTCCGAGCCCTGTAGTCGGCCACTGTTGTGGTATGGTCGATGGAGTGGCCCCGTCCTTGTCGTGCGGAAGTGACATGCTGGTCATACTCGGTCTTGTGCGTCGTGGGGCTCCAGTACGGCTTGATGCAGGACATGGCGGGCGACGTGTTGGTCGCCGTGTAATGACGTCGTAGGGAGCAGCGGCTCTGCAGATGCCGAGGCCGAGCCATCGTGGGGGGCTCGGTGGTCATGGACCCTCAGGCTGCCGAGCCCGTGAAGCAACCTGTCGAGGCCTTGGGGGAGTTATTGGCCCGGTATCGATTCCGAGGCCACATGAGCCAGTGACGTGGCTCCCCATGCCGCATTGTCCTCGGTGCAGGAGTTGGCAAAGATAGTGAGGCATGGGCGCCAACCCATGTGCACGGTGGATAGCATAGTGACGGGTAACCCCCGCCATCCCGGGACGGTGCGAGTCATCGCGTGATGACGTCGTGAGGGGGCTGTGGCTCAGAGGTGCCGAGGCCAAGCCATCATGGGGCTTTGGCGGACATGGGTCCGGGCTGTCGAGCCCTCGGAGCAAGCCGCCGAGGCCTTTGAGGGAATTATTGCTCCGGTATCGATTCCGAGGCCACGAGAGCCGGATGTGCTCCCCACGCTGCATTGTCCTCGGTGCAGGAGTTGGCAAGATAGTGAGGCATGGGCGCCAACCCATGTGCACGGTGGTTAGTCTGATGGCGGGTAACCCCCGCCCCATCCGGGGGACGTCAGGTCATCGCGTGATGACGTCGAGGGGCTGTGGCTCTGAGGTGCCGAGGCCAAGCCATCGCGGGGGCTTTGGCGGACATGGGTCCTCGGTGTCGAGCCCCTAGAGCAAGCCGCCGAGGCATTGGAGGGAATTATTGCTCCGGTATCGATTCCGAGGCCACAAGAGCCCAGATGTGGCTCCCCACGCTGCATTGTCCTCGGTGCAGGAGTTGGCAAGATAGTGAGGCATGGGCGCCAACCCATGTGCACGGTGGTTAGTACGATGGCGGGTAACCCCGCCCATCCGGGGACGGCAGGTCATCGCGCGATGACGTCGTAGAGGGGTCGTGGCTCAGAGGTGCCGAGGCCAAGCCATCGCTGCGGGGGCTTTGGCGGACATGGGTCCTCGGGCTGTCGAGCCCTCGGAGCAAGCCGCCGAGGCCATTGAGGGAATTATTGCTCCTGGCATCGATTCCGAGGCCACGATAGCCTGATGATGTGGCTCCCACGCTGCATTGTCCTCGGTGCAGGAGTTGGCAAGATAGTGAGGCAGGGCGTCAACCCAACCCACGGTGGTTAGTGCATGGTGGCGGGTAATGATGGGGGACGCGGTCATCGCGATGACGCGTCCTGCCTCGCCGTGGCTCAGAGGTGCCGAGGCCAAGCCATCATGGGGGCTTTGGCGGACATGGGTCCTCATGTCGAGCCCTGTCGGAGCAAGCCGCCGAGGCCTTGGATTGAGTTCCCCATGCTGCATTGTCCTCGGTGCGGAGTTGGCAACATAGTGACGCATGGGCGTCAACCCATGGGACGGTGGAGAAGGAAGAGGTAAGCGGAGTGCCTCTGCCCATCGCCCGCCTTTGCGAGCGGTGTTGTCGGAGGGTTAGGCTGAGTTGGACCTGACGTTTTGCCGAGGCCTTCCGCCGAGCCCGGGGAATCGCCTCGCCGAGGCCCGCGGTGAGGGGGCCTCGGGCGAATCGGAGAATCGGCTGAGGTCCGCGGTGATGAGGCCTCGGGCGAGTCGGAGAATCGGCCGAGGCCCGCGGTGATGGGGCCTCGGGCGAGTCGGAGAATCGGCCGAGGCCAGCAACGTTTAGCTGGTTTCGATCTTTACGAAATCTAAGCAGTCGTTTTTTGGATCTTGCTTAGGGTACCCCTTCTCACGGTATCCGACATTATGCATACTCATTGTTAATACTTAATAATAATCAGTAGGGGTTTGCCCCTCCCGTTCTTTTTTTTTAAAAAAAACATATGTTTATGCCAATCTAGTTGTCTTTATCTGCAAAGATGATAAATTAGCCTGCTTGTTTGAGAGAAAGAAAGATGCTAAACTAGTCATATGTCATTTTAATGCCTTTCAAGTTGGATGCTCATGCATGTAACTATTAGACCTTGCGGTGCATGCTGTAATCTATTATCTACCCTTAATTTATACTCGAATCTTTAGTATGTCATAACCTTTTGATCAACCATGATAGCTAGCTGTTGTTGAGCATACTACACTTGTCGGGCATGTTTTACTAGCAAGTAGGCATTCCTGTGGTGGTACCAGGATGTGCAACTTGTGGTTCTCAAACTTGTGTTTCAAAAAAAAAAAAAAACTTGTGTTTCACAACCTTTCTGACTTGGAGGTGTAAAATCCATTTCCAGATCGTCTTTGCAGTTCCCACAGAGTTGTATAAAAATATGCATTGCTTTCATGTTCTTTAGTGTCTTTGTAAATTCCTGAAAGTACCCTTTTAGGTTTAAGTGCTGTGATGTGGTTAGATATGCAGGAAATACTTCACAAGTCATAGCAGAGTGTATGCTTTTTTGTTAAGTTAGCAAGTTCTGATACTAGACATGTGACCTTTCTTTAATTTTCTTGATTTCAGAAGACATGTGCCATTTGCCTTGGTGGCATGAGATCAGGGCAGGGACATGCCTTGTTCACTGCTGAATGCTCCCACAAGTTCCATTTTCATTGCATCTCTTCAAATATCAAGCATGGAAACCTCATCTGCCCAATTTGCCGTGCTGAGTGGAAAGAACTCCCAGGCGCTCAACCTGCAGATGCCAATTATGGACGAGCTAGACCATTAAATTGGCCCCAGGATGAAGGGCACATGGCTGTTGTCCGCAGGCTTTCCCATACATACAGTGGAAACCTGCAGGAGTACCTGCCTTACTTCCGTACTCCGGAGGCAGGCATTTTCAATGATGATGAGCACATAGATCTTCAGTCTGATATGAACGACGAACATAATGCTGTCACTGGTTCAGTTAAAATCAATGCATATTCAGAATTTCCAGCTATTGAACAATCAGTCACCAAGGAGCTCTTTGCTATCTTGATCCATCTCAGGGCTCCAAAATCTTCACACTCAGCGAGCTCCCGTGCACCTCTTGACCTTGTCACTGTGCTTGATGTCAGTGGTAGCATGGCAGGGACCAAAATTGCACTTCTGAAGAATGCCATGAGCTTTGTCATCCAGACCCTTGGACCCAACGACCGCCTGTCTGTGATTGCTTTCTCATCTACAGCACGCAGACTCTTTCCTCTTCGGCGAATGACATTACCCGGTAGGCAGCAAGCCTTGCAAGCTGTCAGTTCCCTTGTTGCAAGTGGTGGCACCAACATTGCTGATGGGTTAAAGAAAGGTGCTAAAGTGATTGAGGACCGTCGGTTGAAGAATCCTGTTTGCAGTATCATTCTTCTCTCTGATGGTCAAGACACATATACACTCCCTTCTGACAGGAATCTACTAGATTACAGTGCCCTTGTCCCACCTTCAATCCTTCCTGGAACAGGCCATCATGTCCAGATCCACACCTTTGGTTTCGGCTCAGATCATGATTCTGCTGCCATGCATGCTATTGCTGAGATCTCCAGTGGCACATTTTCATTTATCGATGCAGAAGGGTCAATCCAAGATGGATTTGCTCAGTGTATTGGTGGCCTCCTGAGTGTTGTGGTTAAGGAGATGCGGTTGGGCATTGAGTGTGTTGACAATGGTGTGCTACTGACTTCCATCAAGTCTGGCGGGTATACAAGTCAAGTTGCTGAAAATGGACGTGGTGGTTCAGTTGATATTGGTGACCTGTATGCAGATGATGAGAGGGGATTTCTGCTCACTCTACATGTCCCAGCTGCACAGGGACAGACTGTGCTGATCAAACCAAGCTGTATGTATCATGACGCTATCACTATGGAGAACATCGAAGTACATGGTGAGGAAGTAAGAATTCAGCGCCCTGAACATCATGTGGACTGCAAAATGTCTCCTGAGGTTGAGCGTGAGTGGCACCGTGTTCACGCCACAGAGGACATGTCTGCCGCACGGGCTGCAGCTGAGGTAGGTGCTTTCTCTCAGGCCGTGGCAATCCTCGAAGCCCGTAGGAGGATACTGGAGTCACAAGCAGCACAATCTTCAGACAACCAGTGCCTGGCGTTGATGATGGAGCTGAGGGAGATGCAGGAGAGAGTGGAGAACCGGCGGAGGTACGAGGAATCAGGCAGGGCTTTCATGCTGGCCGGCCTGAGCTCACACTCATGGCAGAGAGCAACTGCACGTGGGGACTCAACAGAGATCACTACCACTATTCATACCTATCAGACGCCATCCATGGTTGACATGCTGCAGCGCTCTCAGATTCTCGTGCCACCCACTGCTGACATGCTGAACCTTTCCCCAACTGTGGCGCCTTCACAGAGGTCTCCACATAGGTTCAGCCGGTCATCCAGGTCCAGGACAACAAAATCCTTCTCTGAGCAACTCCTGTGATGCATCCTGATCATGACGCAGGTCTAGCTATAACTGTCAAAATATTAGGTGAATGTAAACTGTCCATTTTTTAGTTTGTTCCTACAGCTGATACTTCCATTTTCAGTATTCTATAGCAGATATGGGGCTAGAAGTCCTGGGATATAAATTGGTTTGGTGTACATGGTTGAAATTTGGAAAGGATTTTTTTTTCTGTACATAAACTTGTCCCTTGAATTCTGGTCAATAAGCACAAGCTAGCTTTGGGGGTGAAATCATTTGGGTATATTTCTTTTAGGCTATATAAAACAGTCTGAATCTGATAGCCTCTTCTGATCTTGTTTCTTACGCCTGATTCGCTCGTTTAAAGAGCTACTGCAAATCAAGTTCAGTCTATGCAGATTCCATAGTATTAAACCATAAGTACTTGTCGGAAGATGTTAACCAAAGTTTGATAAACTTTCAATTCTAGATATAGAATAGAACCTGAACTTGCAGTTCGTGCCTGATTTTGCTGGTGCTGTTCAGCCTTTAGTAGACAGACTGTCCGTGTAAGCTAAGGGAACTCACTAAGAATGCAGATTCTGTCAAGATGTTGTACTGACAAGGTGCATATATAACATAACACCTTGACCTTCCCATGCAATTTTGTCAAGTACTAGGAGTTAGGCATTCAGCAGTTGTTGTTGTAATTTTTCTTGACAAAGTTTGAGCCCGATAAACTGGTGCAGATAATAATAAATCCATGCTAAAACATGATCTTGATTCTTGAAACCAAAGTTACACATGAAGGTATTTCAACCTTGTAACAGGATAGCATGAACAGAGGGCCCTTTGATACAATGCCACTTGCTCATGGTTCATGGGTAAAAGAAAAAAACATGAAGCATGATCAACTATTCTCATAGGAAAATTAGCATGTCTCTACTACCACTAGCAGTATCCTTGCCTTGCAGCAGCTGAAACCTGAAGAACCTCCTCTTCCACTTTCTTTTCTTTACACTGGCATACACACGCACACGTACGTACTAGCCGGCTAGTAGCCGCCTCCGCTGGAGCCGTCGCCGTCGCCGTCGCCGTCGCCGCATCCATCCCCGTCCACCAGCCTCCACAGGCTATCCCACAGCATCTCATCGTCGTCGGCCGGGAGCGCGCAGCACTGCTCCGGCACCAGCACCGGCGACACTGGGCTGCAGTAGCACTCCCCCGTGCTCTGCAGGCTGTCCATCATCGCCATCATGGCCTGGCGATCAGGCTCCGGCGGGCTCTGCTGCTCCAGCTGCTGTTGTTTCACCACCAGCTGCTGCTGGCTCTGCTGCTGGAGCAGCAGCTGCTGCTGTTGGTGCTGTTGCTGTTGCTGCTGCTGCAGGAGCTGCAGGCTCTGGAGGTACTGGCGGCGCTGCTCCTGCTGCTGCAGCTGGTACTGGTGCAGCAGCTGCGCCCGGGCGCGCCGCGACGGCCGGGCCTTCTTGAAGTGCGTCCGCCAGTAGTTCTTGATCTCGTTGTCCGTCCTCCCCGGCAGGCACCGCGCGATCGCCGACCATCTGCACGCACGCGTCACCACGACGACACGGTTCAGTTTTCCCTTCCCAGCAAGGTTAGGCGCCGCCCACCAACGAGCCGGCGCACACGATAGATGATGGGATGAAAAAGATCGATTAGCTACAGTACCGGAGAAGAATCTAATCTGCTACAGTGTGCTCCACACTCTAGGCTCTATCTAGTTCGCATGTACATGCATCTCACATCATTGTATTACTGACTGATGCATGTGTGTATTCATCAATCATCATTGTGTACGTCGTATGCGTACGTGTACGTGTACGTGCCTGTTGCCGAGCATGGCGTGCAGCTGGAGGATGACGGTCTCCTCGTCGGGGGTGATCTTCCCCCGCTTGAGGTCCGGCCGGAGGTAGTTCACCCACCGCAGCCGGCAGCTCTTCCCGCTCCGGCGCAGCCCTGTGCCATGGCCGCCGATCGTCAGCAACAACGCCGGTGGCGAACACACACTCAAAACACACTTGCCATGCAGCACACATACACTACAATACATACCTGTGAGCTTGGCGACAGAGTTCCAGCTGCCCTCGCCGTGCTGCTGCACGTACTCGGTGAGCAGCCTGTCCTCCAGCGCCGTCCACGGGCCCTTCCTCCACCCCTCCTGCAGCATCAGGCTGCTGATCGCGTCCATGCCGCCGCCTTAGTTTGCCTAGCTAGCGCTGGCTAGCTATATATATGACACTAGTAAGCTCTATCTATATATGATGACTGCAGCAGCTAATCTATTAGCTATCTCTATGGAGTGCTGGGCTCTCTCTGGTTCCCGGCTTGTATGACAGCTAGAATCTGGGCGGCCATGCTCGCCATTTATACGACCTCGCAAGTTGGGGCTTGGGAGCTGCGGAGCGGAGGCGATGGACGTCACGTCGTTTTCGCGGGCAGGGAAGAGTAACAATTCCACTCCCACTTGGCTAAGCTTCCTCAGGATATTATTATATTATTATATTGTCTCTGCCCCTGGGAAAGAGCTCACCCTACTAGAATGGTGTGTGGTGATGATGCAACGGAATGCAATGCGAGATGCAGCGATCGAGTGCTGAAAAGCATCTTAGCGTGTTGCCTCGTCAGCTAGCTAGCTTATTATTCTATTGCAAAATTCCTGATCAATCATGCCTTCCGATCTTTTATTCTGAAAAAAGTACATCCCTTACGTGCGTGATGGTTATGTTAGGCCCCGTTTAGTTCTCCCCAAAAATCAAAAAAATTTGCGCAGTAAGTGTCACATCGAATCTCGCGGCACATATATGGAGTACTAAATATAGATGAAAAAAACTAATTACACAGTTGGATGAGAAATCGCGAGACGAAACTTTCGAACATAATTAGTCCATAATTAGACACTAATTACCAAATACAAACGAAAGTGCTACAGTACTCAAAACCCAAAAATTTTCGGATCTAAACGCGCCCTTAGGTAACCTGGTGCCCGCTTTTCTGAACGCGCAGCAGGGAAGACGACGCCGAAAATGCTCCATTATGACACTGTAGCTGCTGTAGGAACAAGCGCTGAACGACTCTCCTGTGGCACTATAGCTACAGCAGGGCAGACGTCAAAGTCAGCCCTGATATCATATCTAGTCACTATAGCAGTATGTTAGCCTGATATGTCTGTGTACTAGGATTAGATGGATAGAGTTGTATATATAGTTTACCACTGCAACTCAGTAAAAAGAGAGAGTTCAATTTGCCATCTCCTATGCAGAGCTCCGGCCAACGCTGGTGCTTTTGTGCTGTGTGTGTGCTCTGTTCTCCCTCCCATCTTCTACCTCTAACCATAGTGTGTGGTAGCCAACGACAGTTCGTGGTCGACATCGCTAGTGTGTGATCGACAACACTAGCGAGTGGTCGGACAACTCCGTGCCGGAGATTTAGGGGCTAACAAGTTGTGTTCACGGTGTGGGAGGTCAGCGGCACCAGTTGACCGACGATGACTCGCACCAACTATGACGAGTGGTCGGTGACCATGAAGGTCAAACTCAGAGTCCGACAGCTCTAGAATGATGTTGATAAGGGCACCGACAACGAAGAAGATGATATGTCAGCGTTGGAGGCTATCCTCGCTGCTGTGCCATCGGAGTATAGGGAGCTGTTGGGGGCGAAGAGCTCTGCTAAGGAGGCGTGGGAGGCTATTGCGGCGATGCGCGTCGGTTCCAACCACGTAAAGAAGGCGACGACCCAGCTTCTGAAGCAGGAGTACGCCAACCTCAAGTTCAAGGATGGTGAATCGGTGGAGGACTTTTCCCTCTGCCTGCAAACGCTCATCAGCAAGCTGAAGAGCCACGACGTCACCATCGACAAAGAAGAGGCGGTCTCCAAGTACCTCCACTCCGGGCCGATGAAGTACATCCAGATCGCTGTTTCTATAGAGACAAGGATCTCGGCGCGCTCTCCTACTACCTCGGTATCGAGGTGAGACAGGGGAAGGAGGCACTCACGCTCGGTCAGAGCGCGTACGCCTCGAAGCTGTTGAAGCGGAGCGGCATGGCTGAGTGCAAGCTGGCGTAACTCCGATGGAGGAGCGGCTGAAGCTGACGAAGGCCAGTACTGCGGCGAAGGTAGATGCAACACTCTACCGGAGCATCATCGGCGGTCTGCGCTACCTAGTCCACACGAGGCCGGACATTGCGTTCGCCGTGGGCTACGTCAGCCGCTTCATGGAGGATCCCCGAGAGGATCACTGGGCTGCGGTGAAGCGGCTGTCGCGCTACGTCAAGGGGGCGGTGGATCAGGGGATCGTCTTCCCCAAGACTGGCCGAAGTAGGCTGCAGCTCACTGTGTTTAGCGATGTAGACATGGCAGGGGACATCGATGGACGGCGGAGCACCTCTGGCGTGCTTGTTTTCCTCGGGTCGGCCCTAATCTCATGGCTGTCGCTGAAACAGAAGGTGGTGGCGATATCCACGTGCGAGGCAGAGTACGTGGCGGCGGCCACAGCGGCATGCCAAGCTGTGTGGCTGTGCCGGCTATTGGACGAGCTGACCGGTGTGAAAGCTCACCCACCAGCACTGATGGTGGACAACCAGCCCGCCATCGCCCTCGCAAAGAATCCGGTTCACCACGACCGGAGCAAGCACATTGACGTCAAGTTCCACTTCTTCAGGGACTGTATCGATGGAGGACAGATCGTCATCGAGTTCATCGAAACTGGTCGGCAACTCGCGGACATCCTCACCAAGCCGCTCGGCCGTCTTTGACTCATGGAGCTGAAGAAGATGATCGGCATGGAGGGGATTGTAGGGTTAGCAGCAAGATTAGGGGAAGAATTGTTAGGTAACCTGCTGCCCCCTTGTATGAACGCGCAGCAAGGGAAGACGACGCCGAAAAGGTTCCCTGCTGTGACACTGTAGCCGCTGTAGGAGTAGGCGTCGAACGGCTCTCCTGCGGCACTGTAGTTACAGCAGGGGCAGGCGCCAAAGTCAGCCCTGCTGTCACATCTAGTCATTATAGCAGCATGTTAGCCTGACATGTCTGTGTACTAGGATTAGATGGATAGATTTGTATATACTCCCTCCATTCCTTAATATAAGCCATATAGTTTTTAGCACCAATATTAACGCACGGCTTGGGGAAGGATGTGAGACCGAGGAAAAAAAAGGAAAATCAGACCATCTTCTCTCTCCCGATTAGATTGCTTTCTAAATCTAAGGGATTGGTTGGGGCATGTGCTATCTATGGTGGGAAGGTTTCCAAACTAATTGGCGTGGGAGCTGATACGTACCTATATTTTGGAATTTTCTTTAGAAATCTATATGGCTTATATTAAGGAACGGAGGGAGTATAGTTTACTACTGCAACTCAGTAAAGAGAGAGAGTTCAGTTTGTCATCTTCTCTGCAGAGTTCCGGCCAACGCTGATGCTTTATGCTATGTGTGTGCTCTGTTTTCCCTTCCGTCTTCTACCTCTAACTATTGTGTGTGGTAGCCAACGACATTTCGTGGTCGACATCGCTAGTGTGTGCTCGGCAACACTAGCGCCGTGCCGGAGATCCAGGGGCTAACAGGTTATCTATCTATCAGGTTCAGAATATGTAGACTTTCCTCGTGTACAATGAATGGCAGTATAAACTAAACTAAGGGTAGACCGTATTTAGATATGGCGTTGCTGGTGGCCTAAAATAGTAGTTAAGTGATGCAACACAGCTGGGTTTGTAAAAGTAGTAGTAGTATATGCTGTGCGTGCAAGTCACTGGACAGTGGGCCGGGGCCCCTCAGAAAGAAGGAAATGATCTGTCAGAGCGAGGCTGATCAATGCAAGGGAACATAGGGTAGTTAGTCTAATCGTTATGAGATTGCCTGTCCCTGTCCCTGTTCAATTTCCGGAATCTCTTGCTGGATGATTACCATGATGGGGCATGGGCTCTGAAGTCTGAACTCTGAACTACTAAATGTCCAGGCCGGTGCACGCATGCTGAATTGCTGGCAACCGGCATATTATGTTTTTCTACGCGTGTGCCAGTGTCAGTTTGCAATTAAGCAAAATGCAAGCTGATCGGTGTCCAAACACACACTGCGAAGACTGGGGACTGAGCTACTACTGAAAGTCTGAAACTGAAGGGTCAAATGAAACGAAAAGGCAAGTCGTCGCTACTCGCTAGGCATGAATATGATTGCAAGTGGAGTGGACGATCTCTCTTTTCCACCAACGTAGAAGGAGTTGAAGCGGTTAAAGTCATATGCATGCATGATCACGGATGCTAATGTTTGCTACTAGTGGTAAATAACAATTTAGAGTCAACTCAAAATGGGTAATTACCAGCAACCGAAAGTGGCCTAACCGCGTAGTTAGACTTCAGACTTTCAGAGCTAGCTCAGCCTGTTCCAGAGTAGACTTCGGATCAAGAACAGCTCCAGCAGTAGTTAATTAAAGTCAGTGAGCTATAGGGACACTCTAGTCCATACCGTGTGAAGAAGTAGGAGGTCGATCAACTGAAAAGGACCTGCTTGTTGACAGGGCTTGATTTTGACAAGAAGCTGAACATCTGTGTAGTGTACAGTGTAGACCATTATCTTCAGCCAAGCTCTCATATCTTTTACTTTATATAATGAGCCCTTATATAATCTTGCAAAAAAAGGAGAAGCTTCTCGTTTTTTGACCTCCCAAAAAGAATACAAAACTCTAGACAGCTTTGTCTTTAGTCATGAGTCAAACCGTACAATTTCAAGTTTGATCAAATTTATAAAAAAAAGAGTGTCAACATTTATTACTCTAAATAAGTATATTATGAAAATATGCTCAATGAGAAGTTATTTGCTACCATAAACAAATCTGGTCCTTCTTTGTGTCGATTTGATCAAATTTAAGAGATACTTTGACATAGTACTATACTAGAGTTGCATTCCTTTTTAGATGGGTGTAAGTATAACATTAAGTTTGTCTCACGATGAAATTTAATAATACCAACCTCTCTATTGTAAATTTATACTTTTTTAGTTATTGATGATCAAAACTAAAACAGTCAATTAGTCTTAACAAAGCTAATAATAAATAGACTTATATTTGAGGAATGAGGTAGATGGAGTAAGCTAACCACTATGATTTCTCTTACATGGTACTAATAAGAAGCTGATTCAAAGGTACGGTAAGTAGATGCATGATAGCCGTAAGCATCCAGCTGAGGTGCCACGTAGCGAA